CTTGCCAGGAATTCCAAATGTCCCTTTTAGCTACAGCCGCTGTACATGTTCAAGTAATGACCTGGTGACAGCAGCCGCATCTGTAAGCGGCAGGCTGTATGTAATTGTATGTAATATGATTACATGTGGTTTGAAATACAGTAGATCACTGTCCCTGGATGCATCCCGTGATAGTGTGAATGAAGCCTTATATTATAGAACTGGTATGGGTATATATGCAAACTAATGGCAGTGGTGTTTATGTCATGGTTATGCTGTGTTTACTCTTTGGCTGTTGTGGTGGTAATTATTTTCATTCATGTATTGTTCCTGGTTGTAGTGGTGGTTATTCAATGGCTCTAGCAGTGATCTATTGATAGTCACCTTTGCAGTGGTCATTCTGGTCATCACTGTGTTCAGTGATGGTCTAGTTTTAGAGTTGCGGGACCAAAGAAGCAGATTCAGATCACTATCTAGTAATGGTATCAGATATGCCAGTTAAGCAAATGTTCTGTACAATTAGTACAACACGGAACTGGAAGACAAGACAGCATGGCCACTTGCAATTAGTAAAAGTGTACACGTTTAAAATGTTACAATAACGTATAATTTAAAGGGTGCTATCCCTGCTGTAATAGAACGGCCGGACGGTTGACTGCTCCCAGTGGGGGCACGTAAATGTGCATATTTTTTCTTTTTTTTTTTACCTTGCGTCCCCCTAGCACGCTCATGAGCAAGCAAGTTTAAACTACTATGTCCAGAAGACAGTGCAGTTTAAACAACTTGCTGCAGAGCCAGTAAAATCGGCTCTGTTCTGTGTGATCGCTGTGACCAATCATAGCAGATCACTAAATGGAAATAATGTTGCAGTATCCAGCATTCTCTTCTCATCCCTCACACATTGTTCAGCTGTGAGAGGAGAGGAGACTTTCTTTACAGTGACAGTGAATACTGTTAACCAGCACTTGTTACAGCACAAATTTTGCCACAGTGCCAGTTTGCTAGTAATATTAGAGTTCTGATTGCCACAGTGCCAGCCTGTCAGTCCAGTCAGAGTCCTGATTGCCATCAATGCCAGCCTGTCAGTCCGTCAGAGTCCTGATTGCCATCAATGCCAGCCTGCCAGTCCAGTCAGAGTCCTGATTGCCATCAATGCCAGCCTGTCAGTCCGTCAGAGTCCTGATTGCCATCAGTGCCAGACTATCCAGCCGCCAGAGTCCTGATTGTCATCAGTGCTAGCCTGTCACTCTATTTGTCCCAAAAAAAAAGATATAAAAATTTCATTTTGGTATGGCTTTGCATGGCTGAATAATTGTTAGTCAAAGTACAACAGCGCTAAATACTGAAAAATGGCCTGCACAGGAAGGGGGGTTTGACACCTCGGTCATCAAGTGGTTACTCAATTCTAACCATTTTCCATGCATCAGGAGTCGCACATGCCAGAAACTAAGCAATTTCCCACACATAACTTTGACCAACCACCGGAATTCAGTATAAAACTGGTCAATAAATTGACAACTTCAATACACTTAATGGAAAATGTTCTTCAAAAACAGCAAATATCAGTTCTATTGCAGGTACTTATGCCTTTTATATCTGCCTGGAGTTCAGCTTTGAATATAAAATATTTTGACCTTTTTTATCTGTAATTCAAACACATCTCCAATAGGACATGTTTTGTTGTGGGCAGGGCAAGTGGTCCCATGACCAAAGTGGAGATTGTTTTGCCCATGCTGTTTAGTGTAGATGGAGGAATCTATTAGATTTCTTCTATTTAGGAAGCTAGCTGAACAAGAGAAATTTATGCATGTATGGCTAGCTAAAAGTACCCAGCCAGCTAGAAAAAGACTAGCACAGACAAAGGTGGTTCCATAGGACCATGCAAGGGAAAGGAGCCACCCGACAGGTTATCAGGGCCAGTGCAAAGCAGATTAGCTGATTTTGCAGCATCCATTGTAAGTGGTTTAATCAACAGTTAAAATAGCTTAAAACATTTTGACTTTAATTGCAATATTGATGCAATAAATGATCATTTCATGAAAGATACGAGTATCTGTGTCCTTATTGTATAAAGCCAAAGATGTTGCATATACAGGAGATAGTGTGTAACTTGTGAGGCTATACTAAACATATGTTTTATAATAAAGAACAAATCAACCCTGATCATTTACTTGTATCATGCTTTAATTTGCTACTTAAAGGGAACTTTTGGTTTAAGTTTCTATTTACTGTCCTATCCAATATTATTATGGGAATACATGTTAATAATAAAATAAATCCTCTTTTTCTTAAAGGGTTTCTAGTTCGGGAACAGGATAAGTTACAAAACCAACCTACTTAATGGATAACACAGCCTAATAAGCAGGACTTGACACTTAATAGCACTAATAAGCCTTCCTAACCAGATTCAATGTACCGATTAGGGTGATTTGGATAAGACCCACACTTTTGTTTAGCTATTGCATATTGTGTTTCTGCTGCACCATCTGCTGGCAGACTCAGTATAAAATATGAAAAACCATTATTATTTATTGCTATGTATTGGATGTGGGACAGGGTATAAAAAATTGCCAGTGAACAAATATACATTATACCGTATATATTGTAAATTAATAGCAATGGGAGTCCTGAGAGGAACTGAGACGCTACTGTTGTTGACGTGACCAAAAATGCTAATAGTTTGGCTGTCATGCTGACCATCTGGGTACAGTACTTTTTGAATCAATAACTTCAAAAAGTTGTTTAGTTCTGACTTAATTTGCTGCATACTTGTTCCAGTTCAGTAACACAGATAATCACGGCAGTCAGCAAATAATATTTTCAGAATGATGTAAAAATATCAACCTAGGTGTGTCATGACAGGTTTTCTTTAACTACTTCAAGACCAGGTGTTTAGACCCCCTTCCTGTCCAGGCCATTTTTCAGTATTCAGCGCTGCGGTACTTTGACTGACATTTATTCCATCATGCAACGCTGTACTGAAATGAATTTTATACCATTTTTTGGGGACAGATGGAACTTTCTTTTGGTGGTATTTAAACTTTTTTACTATAATTAGGAAAAATTACAGAAAATTTTGAAAAAATATATATTTTTTTTTTTTACATTATGTTAGGAAACATTTATTATTACCCAGTTTTTTGGTAAAATATAAAAGATCGGGTCACGTCGGGTAAATAGACGCCAAGCATGTCAAGCTTTAAAATTGCGCGCACCCGCAAAATCGCAGAAAACTACCATACCCAAAATTGTCCATAGGCGACGCTTTAAAAGCTTTTACCGCTCATCAGTTTAGTGTTAATAGTGATTGATGGCCCTAGAATTATTGCTCTCACTCCGACGTTCGCAGCGATATGTAACATGTGCGGCGTAATGGGTGCAATCGTCTTTTTTGCTACAGCTCGCGGTATACTGAGACCGCCACAGCCGGGACAGATCCCGACATTACTGTCGAGATCCACCCAGCTGCGTGATTGACAGCTGAGGCTAGAGGCAGAGACAGCTGTACCCGCCCCTCCCCCGTTCATTCCTCCAGTCAGTTCCGGAGGATCGGAGGGGGGAATCCCTTCGGGGAGCAGTGACTGACAGTCACCACTCACCGCAGGAAGGCGATCGGGAAGTAAGCGGATCGATGCACATTTCTGCTCACTTCCCGGTCAATAGAGCCGACCTGTGACAGCTTCTTTGTCACAGGTCGGCTCTAACTATGAGGATGAGTGGAAATCACTCATCACATAGTTCTCCTTTAAGCTCAAATATCACACATTAAAGTGTGATATTTGCCCTCTGCAGGGACAGGATTGGCTCGAACTATGAGGAAGAGTGATTTTCACTCACCTCATAGTTCTCCTTTAATATACTCTTCTTGTGAAATACATTTTGCTTCTTTGTAGTCTATTAAGGAGTTTGTGAATGGAAGTCGAAGTTCATAAAACTTTCTAATTGAACTATGTCACCATATCTAGATTAATGGCGAGCAGTGCTATTACCTATTCCTTGTATTTTTTCCAAAATACCCCTGCACATAATCCTTTGGAACAGATGGCACTACTGATCTGTAAGCTAAATGCCAAGAGGTGTTTAGGGGCTTTAGGTGGAGCGATCTCTTCCCTGTAATCCTTGAGTTGGTTCAAAAGCCAGAAAGATATTGGATATACAAGCTTTAACCAAAAAACGGATACATCTGATTTAGATTTGACCCCTTACAAACAGTGTTGGCATTGAAAAAAGTATCTGCTCCAGCCCTATATCCTACACTAGAAATAAGCAATATCATCTCACCCCAAGTTATTTACCTGATTCATATGCCTGCTCTAGAACCTTATTAACCTTTGAAGAGCTCTCATTATAGGGATATTCCTAATGCTGCGAACCATAGAGTTCTCACTGATCAGATACAACCACTTCAGCTGGTCCACTTTGCAATATAATAATGAAATATGTGTCACACAAGCAACAAATAATGTCTTATAGTCTTCTCTAGATGTGAATGAACATATATAATTATATTTGGGTTGTTTCAAATAGTTTTTGTCATTGGTCACCATTTTGTGAAACGTTTTGTGTACCTTTTAAGCGTTTTTAGGTTATTTGTATCTTCATCTGGTAACCTTGTTACAAGGGTTTACTCCCTGGTCAGGTTCCATTACTTGTAACATGGAGAAGATGCTTCAATTATGTTCCTAAAAAGCATAGCCTTATACTGCACACTGTCCCATAATGAAGCTTTTTCCTGAGAGTCAACAGATAGTCCAACGTTTCTGCTGACATTTAGGCAGTATATTGCCAGTTAGCTAATTGCCAACCGTCTGAAGAAGCTGGGAGGCACGCAAATCTGCAACTGTATCATCAGCATCATACAACCTGTATCTATGAAACCTTCACCAACCTAGGAACTCTACCAACATTTTAGCAATACATAGTTATTAATCTGCAGAAAACGGAATATTCAGTCTCCAAGATAACGTGCAACAATCCAGAACATTCTGAAAACAACAAGGTGCACTGCAGGCATTAACACAATGGCATATTCACGTGTCCATGTGGATGCAGACCAGTTAATTGCTGAGATTCAAACCAGACCAGCACTCTATGATCTCAAATCTCCAGGATATTCAAACAAATTTGTAAAAGACCGCCTCTGGGAAGATGTGTGCAATGCCGTCTTCAAGAACTGGGACAGACTGGACAGCGATGAAATAGCTGACAAAGGTATTTATGTTTTACATTTGCTTACCAATTTTTAATCTTCTGTGTAAAGTCATGTACAGTACAGAATTCCTAGTTACAGTTACAGGCCCTGAAGAGAATGTAACTGATACCTTGTCCATATACCAGGCAGTTCCAGGTGCCTACATGCCAGTTTTTATCTTTGTATGCCACGCAGGAACCCTTAAAACCCATGGAATACTGCTATGGGAACATCAACTACCCTCTGAGGTATCTGGGTCTGCTTCTAGTTCTTACTATTTGGCCTCAGTACCAAATACTAAGGTGGAATGGCAAGGAGACCTAGGGGGTGATTTACTAACCTAAACACACGCACGCACCAGGTGCGTGTGATTTTTACACAGCAAAGCGTATTTATCAACCAAAAAGTCTCTATAAGCATGTTTCCACTAATGTCATATATGGAAAAATCATGCACATGATGCATATATAATGCTGCTTCACAGTTTAGACAAAAATGGTTAGCTCATGCATTTACATTCCTGCATTCATCAACGCAAGTAACACAATGTAGAGCTAATTTACACAACATCACCTTGCAATTCAGGGCAGGGCTTTGCACAACACACCTGCTGGGTGTGTACACACTACAAAGGTGTTTAGATTCCCCCCATAGATCATGCTGGGAGGGAACACACTACAGAGGTGTATACATGTTCGTGGTGTGTTTATAAGGTTAGTAAATCAACCCCCTAGAGTCATCGCTCTTGTTTCATAATAGAGTGCAAGTGTGTTGGATTTCCTAGGGTACTGAAAAGAAGATCAAAGTTGGTATACAGACACTTGGATGTGCCTGCTATTTGCAGTGTCACTAAATCGTTTTTGGGGCCTCTTTTTTAAGGGAAACTTTTCTTGAGTTATTATTGTCACTATAAGATTTTTTTATGACTTACCATTTCAGATTTTCAAGACCATATTTTATATTCAGACTTTCTGCCATGTTTGCCTTGATTAGACATTAGGGCTTGTTCAGACCAGTAGCAACGTTCAAACGCATGGCTACTGGTGTGCATGTGCCCGGACATTGTCAATGCACTCGATCAAGATGCATCGCATTGTTTCTTTCGTTTTATTTTTTTTGACAACTTTATTGAAATGTCATAAGTGGCATTTCATTAAGTTCTATGCGCTCACTACGGTACAATGCATTTGTACCGCATCACACTGCAGAGTGGTTTAAAAAAGTACTGCTGACAAACTTTTTTTAAGTGCACACCAACGGAACTCAGTAGTATGAACTGTCACCAACCATGACAAAGCAAATTGCTTGTCTTGTGTTACGTGCACAAGATTATCAAAGGAAGATAGATCAGAAGAGTGGTCTGATCAACTTAGAATCTAAGAGAAGCCAGCAGGAAAGTATCTGCCTCACAACATATATATAGCATTGAGGGCTCATTTACACCATCTGCGTTCGGGCTGTGCTGACGATTTTTTCATCGGGCAGACAAGTTTCTCCAGTTTCTCTTAGATTCTTAATGGATCAGACCGATTTTCTGTTCTCTCTTCTTTTGAAAAGCTTGTGCAGGGAAGGTCTGACACAGCCACTTAATGAACAAATGTTGTTATGATAGCACAGGCAGTTTATTATTTCCCATCATACTAAGTAGACTTTAAATTAAAGTGACACTAAACTCAGGAGTTAACTCTTCAAAATATATTTAAGTACCCTCCCTATTAACAAAAATGTATCTTATTTGTGTATCACTCAGCTGTAGATCCTCAAATCATCCCTGAATTGGTGCTGACACTGTCCTTCCTTCTGGAGGGTGGCTACTTTTGTTCCCCATGGTCCCTGTGTGTGTTGTAAAGTACCCTCCACTCCAAGCTCACTCCTGTGATGGACTACAATCTCATGTTTAGTTTACTAATTTGTATTGATATTGTAGTGCAATACCTGCTTCTTTCTTTGAAAATGTTGCTCTTTGGCCTCCTACTGCAGTGCTCCGTGTTAGCATAACTGAGTAACAGCCACACCCTTCCTCACAATTGTTCTCACACAGACTTGTATTGCAGAACAATACTGTGTGCTAAGTGCACTGGGTCTAACTCTGGTACCTATTGAACTGCACAGTCATATTTAGACACCTAGGGCAGCTGCTATAATAGGAAAGTGCAAACTATGAAAATTGAGTTTATTAGTACAATGTCTATATAATTGCACTAGGTGCGTTGCGTTGCCATTCATGAATGGCACTCTAACACAAATCCCGCATGAATGAAGGCTGGAGTGCATCCTTGCAGGCTTTTGAGTGCCCTGCTATCTCAGGTCCTAGCATTCAGGCACACTGAGCCTCCCAAAAACATCGGAAACTGGGAAGGAAGTATTTCTTTTTTTGGAATATCTTTATTTTTTTCAGGTGACTGTAAACTTTAGGGGTTAAATCTTAAAATTGCATTCAAGTACCTTAACTGTTAACAAAAATGTTCCTTATTTTTGCATCACTCGGCTGTTGATCCTCACATCGTCTCTGAATTTGTGCTGACATTGTCCTTCCCTCTGGAGGGTGGCTACTTTTGTTCCCCATGGTCACAGTGTGTGTTGTAAAGTACTCACCTCTCCATGCTCGCTACTACAATCTCATATTTAGTTTACTAATTTGTATTGAAATTATAGTCTATCACAGGAGTGAGCTTGGAGCGGTGGCTACATTACAACACACACCAGGACCATGGAGATCAAAAGTAGACACCCTCCAGAAGGAAGGTCAGTGTCAGCACCAATTCAGAGGTGATTTGAGGATCTACAGCCGAGTGATACACAAATAAGATACATTTTTGTTAATACTTGAGAGCATTTTACAGATTTAACTCCTGAGTTTAGTGTCACTTTAAGTTTTTGGCAGCTTGTTTGGGTAGCGAAGAGCTGGCAGAAAAGTGGACCTTCCATTTTTCATAGAAGTTCCACTTTACAAAACTGTAGAAGGATTGTTGAGTAATGGAAAAGCAGCTCAGTAGTAAAATCGGATAATAGGAATGCTAAAAAGAGGAAAGAGGAACAATATTGATAAACAGTATTAGTATTGTTAATAAGAGGAAAAGGTAACACAATATTAATAAGCGGTAATAGGATTGTTAATAAAAAGCAAAGTACCTCAATAGTAATAAACAGTAATAGAATTTTAAAAAGGGCAAGATATCTTAATAATAATAAACAGTAATAGATTATTAAAGGGTAATGTACCTCTGTATTAATCAGCGATATTAGAATTGATAATAAAGGGGAGAGTAGCTCAATAGTAACAAAAAGTAATACGTTTGTTAATAAAGGGAAAATAGCTCAATAGTAGTAAGCAGTGATAAGCTTGGTAATAAAGGGGAAAGTAGCAGCGTAGTAATAAACAGGAATACGATTGTTAATAATGGGTAGAGTAGCAGAATAGTAATAAACAATAATATAATTTTTGATAAAAAGGAAAGTAGCACATTTTCTGCAGTAGAGGGGTGTTTTTTTTGTGCTGTTAATCAGCTTCCCAGCTGTAAAATGGGCAAAAGCTCAGAACTCCTTAATGAAACAGAAATGGTCCATCAGAAAGGGAGTCAAATTCATCAGGGCTGATTTGGAAAATAATTTGATTTTAGCATAATACCAAGAAAAATAAAAGATCAAACATTTTTAATAAATAGCTAACGATTAAGCTATTAGAAGAATGTTTGTTAAAGGAGAACTATGAGGTGAGTGATTTCCACTCATTCTCATAGTTAGAGCCGACCTGTGACAAAGAAGCTGTCACACGTCGGCTCTATCGATCGGGAAGTGAGCAGAAACATGCACTGATCGTCTCCCTGCAGTCACCACTCCCCACAGGGATTCCCCCCTCCCTTCTCCGATCCTCCAGCACTGACTGGAGGAACGAACAGGGGGGAGGGGGCGGGCACAGCTGGCTCTGCCTCTAAATTAGCAGAGCCAACTGTCAATCGGCCAGCTGGATGGATCACCACAGTATTGTCGGGATCTGTCCCGTCTGCGGCGATCTCAGTATGTAGCAAACTGTAGCTCGCTATATACTGAGCTTTGGGGACACAGAACAGCGCCCAGCGAGGAGGAGAGAATACACGGATGCACAGCAATTTTGGCCGAAAGGTGGTTCTTTCGGCATTTTGCCCAAAGTACCATTTTCGGGCAATATGTTTTGGCGGCTGAAATTTCGGTGCCTCCCACAAATGCTATGCACACAAACTAATTACAGGTAAAAAAATACATAAACATGCAATCTTTTAATACATACATACACAGGCATATACTATACCCTTCTCTAGCACATGTTAAGGTTTCTATAAGAGGATACACAAAAAGTCACTTAGCTGCAGTTGTTGCTGGTCTACATAGTGATCAGGACTTCACTGAAAAACTTTGACCAGAGGACCTCAATGAAACAGTGGACAACACTAAGCCACGACAAGAAGTATTTTTCCAGCGAACGCTTAATCGCCACATAGTTCTGTTAACTACAGAATTTGTAGACAACAACCGAAGCTAAGTTACCTTTTAGTGTATCCTTTTAAAGAAATGATTGCATGTGCTAGAGAAGGGTATAATGTATACATGTGTATGTATGTATGTATGTATGTATGTATTAGCAGCCTGTATGTTTATGTATCGTTTTACCTGTAACTAAGTAGTTTGTGTATGTAGCATTTCTTGTATAGTAAAAATGCATTAAATACTACTGGGTAATTTTCCTTGGTTTTACTACTAAGAATCAGGTAATTTGCTGTGAAAGTTTGCTAAGCAAAACATAGTTCCACGACAGCTGGAGTGCCAACGTTGCCTACCCCGTTTTAAAGCTGGCTTTGTTCTTTTCTACATTTAAAGTGACATTAAACCCTTGCGCTAGCAAGCAGCAGATATATGCAAAAACATTTTAAAAAAAGTTACCAAATAGGTTTAAAAACGTATCTGTGTCTCCGTCGTGCGCTCCCTTCCGAAGATCTGAAGATTCTCGGGCGGCCACAAAGGATCATGGGGAGGGCGCATGCGC